ATTACCATAAAATTATCATAATAATTACACGAAAGAAGGAAAGAAAATTATTAGAATAATTACCATTAATATTAAAAATTAATTATATATTAATGTAAGTATAATTTATTTTATGCCAATAATATTATACATTAAGTATATATATATAATTATTGAAAAGAGGATATAATTTTAAAAAGTAAATTATTAATTAGATTACATAATATAATTGTCCTACTAATTGATTCCATACTACTATGTATAATTCATTTATTTGAATTTTTTAAAGATAAATATCTATTAATTACCTTAATAATTAAGATAATTTTTAGTCAATCAATATTCAATAGTATTAAATGTATTACTTCGAATTTTTATAAATAATATATAATATTATTAAATCGAAATAATTAAAAATAATGTGTCCATATTACAAAAGATTTTATAATAGTAATTTTTTTCGCCTAATAGAATTTGTCAATTATTAAACATTGTTTATGGTAATTATTGTATGACATTTAATACTAAGATTATTAGGTATAATTTTTATAATTAAGGTATAATATTATTAAATCAAAATTATTAAAAATAATGTGTCCATAATATAAAATAAATTATACTTGTCTTAATAATTATTTATTAATATAAATTTATAATTATAAATTTGTATACGAAAAAACATAGCAACTGAAACTTCTGGTTTAAAAAAAAACATCTCTCCATTTTTTTTTTTTTGTCACCAATGGATTGTATTTATAGGTAGAGAATGTGAGAATTATAAATTAATAATATAAGTTTCATTTTCCATTTCCTTTTCTATTCAGTCAATTAGGGATTTTTATAATTTTCAGTCCATTAATAATATACGTTTCCTTTTTCAATTTGCATAATTTCACTTTCGTTTTCCAAATCCGTGTTTCATATGTTATTCTCATACATAATATTCACGTTACTATAAATTGATTAGCAATTAATACATTTACAATACCATAATTATGCAATATTATCAATTAATATATTTTAATTAATTTACATTAAACATATGCTTACCAAATAAGATTTATTAATTATTTGACTAAAAAATATAAAATATTTAATTAATTTAGTACACAAGTTTGGACGTGAAAATGATGTAAGAGAATTTTACTTTTATATAGATTATGGTATTACGTTCATATTAAATAATATTACCATACATACTTGTTAATATTTTGATTTATTAAATTGGTTACAATTCATATTATGGTATGAATAATTCTTATGCAATATACAATTTGGCAACTCAATTAATATTATGATTTCGCGCAATGAACATATTTCATCTTGTGTACTCATTTGACCGGAAATATGAAGGTTGGTTCAATAAATCGTAAATATTACCAATTGTTTGGTTAGAAAATAATCTTTATCAAATAAAAAGTAATTAAATTGATAAATTATACTTAAAAGGTAAATATTACTGGTTATTTTCTTATATATAAACCTTTATTGAATTATTTTATTATAAGGAGCGAAAAATTTTATACATAAATTATTTTATAATTTATTTTGATCGTGAGGCCACACACGCGCACACACACACACATATATATATATACACACCGTAAATATTACAAAATACTTGGTTACAGAATAAGCTTTATTAAGTTATATATAAATTAAAAATGATTAAATTGTTAAATTATACAAATTGAAAAACTCTTAACAAAAAATTAGCAAAAATGTAACCACATCCGTAAATTTGATTCTATTTCATAAATGATTCATAAAAGTCCGTGTGATTCTATTTCGAAAATTTCAAAGAATAGTGCAGAGTAGTAGTAAATTAATGTAAATATTACCCAAAATTCTCAAAACCAGAAGCATATTCGATCTAATTGAGAAGTGAGAAATGCCTATTACATAACAATAACAAAATATAAAATTATAAGTGAAGTTAAATGTTGGAATAACTATACAATCTTTAGAGCTATTAACATATCCATCATTATTTGAATCACATTCTTTCAGAAAATATGCATATGTAGAAAAGTACCATGAATTTGTAGTGTAAAAAGAAAATGTTGTAAAACAACCATATGCATAAACTAAAAGTTTTGAAATACAAACTATTAATATTAAGATCATAGTACCAAAAAAAAAAAAAAAAAAAAAAAAAAAAAAAAAAAAAAAAAAAACTCTTTATCATGGACTACACACTCTATAGAATTTATTGTTTCAGAACCTCTTGCCTCTGGAAGATGAACAACACGGAGCACTCCAACATTGATTATATTCCAAATGAGTGTAGGATGAAGTTGACTACCAACAATTTCGTTGTGACTTCCTGCTACAACAATTAGACAATTATATTATTATTAAAATAAATATAGAAAAAAATAAAAGAGAAATAATTTAAAAAAAATAAATGTAGTGTCAACTATTATATAATAATAATGCATATTACATGTAAATTTATAAATTCGTTGTAATTGTCAATGCTTAACATCATAATAGTTTATCCAGTTATTGTGCGTACCTTCTACAATGTGGGCACACCTCTCCTTAATGCATGTAAATAGTTGCTCAGAACCATTTCAATTGTCTCTATATTTGTATCCTGCAATATTTGCAAAAGATGTAGAAAAGAAATAAGAACAGAAATTAAGAATTATGCCATTGAAAAATGAAAGACACAATACAGAACTCACCCTAGTACAAAAAAGAAGAGTTATAATTTTTCTAGTCACTAATCCATTGTATTTATAGGTAGAGATAGAGAATGTGAGAATTAATTTCTTTTTATATTTTCAATCAATTTGCCTAATTTCTGTTTCCTTTTTTTCATTAGAATCCTTTTATATTTTCAATCAATTAATAATATCAATTTCCTTTTTTCAATTTATATTGATTGGATTTCACAATGGTATATTGGTATTGCATAATATTACCAATTAATAGCTTTTATAAAATTTCCATTTTACATTTGCTTACCAAATAAGTTTTATTAATTTGACCAATAAAACATTTCATTAATTTGACTATAAAAGTTTGAGCGGAAAAATTACATAGGAGGATTTTACTTTTATATATATATAGATATAGATTTAATCTTCGACTTTAATGATTTTACACAATTTAGTCCTCTGTTAAGAATTTCGTTTTTTGACGGTTAATAGCAACGTTAATATGGTAATGTGAGAATATTAGACCAAACAAGTTACACAAAGATGTTGGGCCTAGATGCCTTGTATGTGGTCTTGAGCTTCCTAGATGGTGGTCTGCAGATCGAGTTTTGCTGGAATGGTGGTTGTCCTGCCAATGTGTTTGCTGCGTTTTCTAGGGCTCGAGGAAGGGAGGGGGGGAATTGCATCGATGATATGAAGAGGGAGCAAAATTAAGGAGAGGTAATTAATCTGACAATAAATAAAAGATAAATAAAATTACAATGTTTTTTTTTTTTTACAAAAGAATGGGGACACCCACATATACTATCTACGCCTTCACTAAGGCTCAAACCTAAGACATCCCACATAAGGGGCTAATTGGATACCAGTGGACTACAAGCCACTTGGTATAAAATTACCATGTTAATCTTGCTATTAACAACTAACAAAAGAAATTTTTAACAGAGGACTAAATTGTGTAAGACCATCAAAGTTGAGGACTAAATAGAGTACAAAAAGTTATTTAGGACTAAATTGGACTAAAATTTCCATGTTAACCTTGCTATTAACCGCTAACAAAAGAAATTTTTAATAGAGGACTAAATTGTGTAAAACCATCAAAGTTGAGGAGTAAATAGAGTACAAAAAGTCATTTATGATTAAATTGGAAAAACCTACTATAGTCGAAGACTATATTGGGTATTAACTCTATGATTAAATTGAAAATTAATGACAAAAATTGGTAAAAATCAATAGTCAATGGACCATTTATGGTCCAATTGAAAGTCGAAGGATAAAAATTGATAAAAACAATAAATAATGGACCATTCTTAGAATTAACTCTTTTTAATATATTGACAGTACATTATTTTTGTATTAAATGTACATTACTCCATATTTAATAATATACAAAATAATATACTTTCAGTACTCAAAAAATATTTTTATATTAATAACTTTTAATATATTAAAATGTACTTTACTTATGGTCACACAATGCTCTTTAAACCATGATTCATAATGATTGAGCTGCAATACAATGGGATTGGCCTAATAAATGGGGCCACGACTCTAAACAATAAAATTGAGTCTAGAGTCATTTCTAATAAGATCCGCATATTATATCATGTACCACAGTGCACATAATGTATTGTGCGCCCTAAGAGTTTATGTGTATTATGTTAAAAGTTTATGTGTATTATGTTAAGAATTCATGTGTATTATGTTAAGAATTTATGTATATTATGAATTATATTAGATTATGTGCATTATGTTAGGAGTTTATGTGCATTTTACTATACAATTATGTAAATATGAAACATGGGATTTTTAGGACGCACAATGCATTGTGCATTCTGGTGCACGATATAACAATTGAATAAGATCCTAGTATAGTAGTATACAAAATTACTTTGATAACCCGAAGTATTAGATTTAATCACAAGATCAAAGTAAATAAGAATTGATTAAGGTAATAATGCCGGCAAAGACTGTTCTAATTGTGTATTAATGCAACATAATTAAGCATTAAGATTGAAGAGCCTCTATTTATAGATATTAGAAGTGTTGTCGTCATCTAATTATGACCAATCAAAATATACTTATCCCAATAAGGCAATATAACTCAACTAATCACCATAAAATATGCATGAGTGCTAAGGATTGTTCCTTCAGCTTAAGATGGTCATAATTTATGAGTGTCTTTTAAGTGAGTAGAGTTCCAAGGATTCATGCCATCAGTCCAGGCATGAAAGCTTTGTTCCCTTCTCAGATCAGTAATCATGCAATTAACATTTATAATGAGAGTTCTCACACGAAATCCAACCACATAGCACTATCAGATAATCACGTCAATAACATTTAACAAACCAACCGTCAGTCAACATGCCAAGGATTCATGCAATCATGCCGGGTAACAATTAACATAGGGTATAGGAAGTAACAAGAGAACAAGCTCAGGGAACAATGGAAAACTTGAGAAAAATGATTGATTAACTTGTGGGTTTGATATTTCCATAATGATCATTCATCAACTGTACAAAAGGGCTAGACTGGGTCTGGGTATACTAAGCCTGCATATGGAGGGACATAGGCAAATCATTTGTCTAGACATCAAGGGCAAAGTAGTCATCTTTGATACTACTAGTTGTACCTCACAACTCTTCTGATTTCGGGTCTTTTTCTGCATTAACTTGTTGCTCCAAGTATTCCTCTTCAATGACTTCCTTAAGGATGCAAAGCCTCTGGATAACAACAGGTTGGTTCATCTGTTTTGCTTCCCTAATTTCAGTTTCTTCTTGGTTGAGGTGGTATGCATCTAACATGATTTTTATCCATTTATGTAGCTCCTTGGGAGTTCTGTTCCATCAAAACAAAATCCTAAAATACATTAAATCGCAGAATTTTCAAGAATGCATTCTAACATGATTATAGCCAATATACAGAACCATTAAGATCTCTTACGTGTATATAGCACTTGGGTCTTTAGCTCCATGTTCATCACCAGGACTAAAAGCTGTAGCCAATGCAGAGAATCTTTCCTCGGGATCTATAATGTTAAGCAAATACTTAAGTAGTTTTATTTCTTTTGGTGCCATACTCCTCAGACTACTCTGAGTGGTCTTGTACAGGTGATACATTATGTCTTTTACCTGCACTAATATGCAAATAAAAATCACCAAAGATTGACAAACCAGAGGCATTAAAATTCAGCAAATGCATAAATTCTGTTAATGTGTTCTGGACTCTAAGTAGTAATCTGAAATTTAAAGAATGCCAGAGTGCCCGATATTATCATTCTTGAACAGTATTTTCAGTAGCATGCATGAATCATGATCAAATTCTAGCACATTTTTGGTGGAACTCAAAGAGCAGTAAGGTTACAGAAAAAGAAAAACATTTTAACCACAGATTTGTATACCTCATTTCTCATGGTGGTGGAGTCTTTAGCCGCCGCCCAAGCACCGTTTATCAATAGAATCAATGAAGAGTCAAGTTCTTTTGTCTTGGCAAGGCTTTGAATCTTCTCACATGCTGCATCAAGTGAAGGAGAGTTTAGGATGTCATCAAATTTTTGCTGGGCCGTGTCTAGTGTCTCCACAATCTCCAGTGTGTTATCATGAGCACTCACTGCAGTTAGGCATCTTGCTCCAAGTCTGGCCATAGCTGCTCAACAAAATTAAAAGATCACATTACTTAATGCATTTATTTTGTTCTACAATTCTTGTTCTCTTCATTAAAACATGAGAACATGGAGAAAAACATTAAGGCACAAAGAAAACAATTCCCATTTCCCAAAGGTAGCACATGAAAGATTTCACACTTATAGTTACAGTTTCATTACTACACAAATTAGACACTAGATCTCACGTTATAAATTAGGCACTAGATCTCTAGCTATCTGGATTCATCAGACTTATGATGCCAAAAGCATGAAGTCAATTAAGCTGAATTACCATCTCGGTCCTCCAAGCTATCATAAGTTTCTGACAACAAAGTCAGATAACGAAAGAATTCACCAGTGAAGTCTTTGCGCCTCTTGGTAACGATGGCATTAACATCCCTAGGACTATCCTGTATCTCTTTGAGAAGGTCCTCGTGCCTCTCCATTTCATCATCAATCTGCAATATTCACTCGTGGTCAACAACCAATCATTATACCATGGACCATCGTCCACCTTGCAAGATGTACCATTGACATAAGGTTCATTTTCAGGTATAGTCAAAAAATGAACATTCAATACACTAAAAATGAACATTTAAAACGTGGACCATGGTCAATTGTATAATCTGCCATCAACAACTGGAAACTCTAGCATTTTTTAAACTCAACATACCAACTTTACTGGTGTTGTTAAAAAGAACACACATTTATGTTCAACCATATAAACAGTTGTATGCAGAGAAGCTAAAATATGCAAAAATGTAACAAGAACACAAATAGATATACTACCTTCTTAACTTTTCTTGCTAAACTAGTATATTTTTCTTTGATTGCAGGGTCATTTTGTTGGGCATCAGCTCGGGTTTGACACCGGGTGTAAAACCTACCCCTGTACTTTTTCCACTCTTCACGAAACACCAAGTACTTCTTCCAATCCTTGGGCTTGGGTTTCTCAGTCAAGAACATGTCAATAACCTTGTCGCAAAATTGGGTCATTGTGTAGCCATCTGCAATTTCAACCTCAACTTGTTGCTCCTCTACTGGTACAGCAGAAACACTGGTGGCCAAAATCTCTGCACAGAAAAAAACAGAAATGTAATTGGTTGTTATAATTAAGAGAAAAGGAGAGTAGGAGAAGGTGCAATTACTGGTTGCGGAGATGGTGGGTGATGTTGTTGTAGGTTTCGATGGGGATATGGTTGAAATTTTGGGGGAAGATTTTGGTATTTCTGCGTTGAATGGAAAGATAATAGTGGATATTGAGGTCTTCAATCCTATGAGGTTGCTCATGGCTGCGTTCAGAGTGGAATCCAATCTTCAGAAATTGTAGATTAGCATTTTTAATCTGACTCAATGCGACGTCGTATCTTGCTGCTGACTAAACCCTTCTCAAAACCCTCTTCGCCTCCATTTACCTCATTTTTCAAACGAGGTCGTTGCATCTATGAGTATTTCTTTTCCCCTTTTGTTTTTTTAGTCTTTTCAGTAAATATTTTTATTTTATAGTGTTTGGTTGCATTTTAAAAAACTGTTTTGATATATGTAGTTCATTTTCTAAAAAATAAGCAAATTGTATAATTAAACATTTTAATTGTTTTATTTCAAATATAACAAAATTTATAATAATGCAACCATAATAATAAGTGATGGTAGTAATAGTGGTAGTGATGTAGTGAAGGTGATGGTGGTAACTACAGCAATGGCGGCAGCGATGGTGGTAGTGGTGTGCGGTGTTAGTGGTGTGGTGGTGGCGGCAGTGGTGTTGGTGTGTATGTTAGAAAATGACTTTCTCAAAATAAATGGGAAGTCATTTTTTCAAGAAAATAAGGATATTTTCTTTTGACCAAACACTCATTTTTCACTATTTACTAAACACTAAAATCTGGAAAAATATTTTTAACATAAATTATTTTTCTGGTTTCTAAACACACCCTAAAGGCAAAACCTCATCTTCTTTGAGCCCAACAGAATAGTAAAAGAATAAATCATATGTAAATATAAAAAGATTTTTCAAACTAATAAAAATTTTAAAAATACAAAAGAAGAAGACGATCTAAATTGTCAAAGTAGAGAAGGGGATAAAAGTATGAAATACAAAATTGTCATTTATTTGTCAATAACTTGATAAAAAAAAAAAAAAATTAAGATCTAAAATTTGTTGGCAGAATAGCTTTTGGAAAGTTTCAAAGGCCAAGCTTGATGAGAAGAGCCTCAGCATATAATACAAGATACTCTTTCCCATAATCACTAGTCCCAGGTCAGCCTCCTTTCACAGCTTGAGGTGCCTGATCATGACAAGTCCAGCAAACACCTTTTTTCCATTTCCTGCTTGCTCTCCAGCTTTCTTTCCACCTAATCCTATACATTCTTTATTAGCCCCAGTACATAGTGGGTTACTATTGTTGGAAAAATGCAAAATTAATTTCTTTGGTCAAGGTTGTTGATTTTCCTCATTACATGTTGTGCCTACAAGCAGTGAGGGGGAGGGAGGTGGACTTTCCCTCATCTATATAAGACAAGTGTTCACACAAGAGAGAGATATAGAACAAATAATTAATTTACCTCTCTTAGTCTGTCTAATAATAGTAGTGTAAGTTTCAATCTCTGGGTGCATGGAGGCAAGGATCACTGTGTAAACCTTGGAGGGCAAGGCCACTTGTCCAGCAAATTCACTTCTAGATTGTTGGAAATCTCAAGCTGATAATGTAAAACACAAATATTGTGTCGTGAAATAACTACTGCCCTAGAAGTGAAATCGTGCCCCGGTGTTTACACAACAATCCTTGTTTTCGTGCACTAGAGCAAGGATTGAAACTTGCACCTCCCTCACTGCTAGCCACAACATATGATGAAGAGGAAAACATGGTTAGCTGAAACAAAGTCTCAACAATCTTGACCAAAGAAAACAATTTTGCATTTTTCCAACTATAGTGATCTCTGCCTCAATTTTCTTACACTCAATGACTCTGCTCAAGCTAGACAAAGAGTGTCTTATATAGGCAACAACAATGAAAACAAAAGAATAATAAAAATAATAAAAAAGTAAAAACAACAGACTGTTATAATGGCTGCCATTCCAGCTACACTGTAACAGTTCACAGCAAACAGGTTTGTTAATCTGACAATGGACAAAGTATCAAATATATCCCATTTTACTTTCAAGCCTTTCACTCAGTTCCCTGGGCTCAAAGACTCAAAGCTAAAGAAGAAAGTAAGCAGCTTGTTTTTAGGTCAGGTTAAACTGTTACAGTATGCAAGTACATAAAAATAGCAAAATCATGACTGAAACATTTTTAAAAAATATTCAATTTAGAAATTTGGTCAGTAGACCCCTTGCCTTCCACTTCCATGGAAGAAACTCTATTTTGCAAGACAATCAATGGTACCTGAGAACAAAAAATAAAATAATTCTCCTGATATTCATTAGCCTTAAAACAAAACAAGAACCAAAATAATTTCAGTAAATGCTGAATGCCAAAAGAACCTCCAAAGATACAATTAATTTTATTTCAATGAATTGCAATATTGACAACAGCTAGATCTCGTGCTCAACATGTATGATCACAGAAGTATAGTTACATACAGTACGAAAATGAAGTAGCCCGTAGCTTACAGATAACTGATAAAAAGTAGCAGCACAAATCTAGTCTAGTGAGAAATGAGAATATCACCGATCATGAATCAAGTATTAAACAGAGCTGGATTAGCCGTGGCCGTGCTAACTTGAACTTCGAGCAGTTCTAGTCTACGCTCCAGTGTATCGAGCTTCTCGTTCAACGACGCCAGTTTGCTCTTCGTCGTCACCTCTGTGGTCATACACGGCATAAGAAATCAGAAATCCCTAACACGGAGCTGCAGAAAATGGAGAGATCTAACCATCTAGAAAATAGGTTGAAAATTTACCGAATTGGACGAGGAAATCAAAGAGGCGGCGGACATTAAGGGAGATGTTAGAGATGAATTCGCGGTTCTCCCAGTCTGCCTGCACCGCTATTCCCACGTTTACGGCGTTCGTTATCCCGCCGGCTCTCGCCATTTTTGCCGCTCCTCTCTCCCCTCCTTCACGAGACAGCTTTTACTAGATTTTGGTAGGTTTTGCTTTTTTATTCTTCCCGCAAAAACAACAATTTTTTTTTTTTTTATAGGAGTATATACGGAGTTAAAATTATAAATTTTGATTTAATATTTTTTTAGTCTGTTAAATTAATTACTAAATTTAAAATAAGCTACTAGATTATTCTTAGAGTAAATACCCAAAATGGTCCCTCGACTATAGCTAAATTCACAAATTGATCATCGACTTTCAATTTCAACCAATTAAGTCCTTAACTTTGTAATTTTGACACGATTTGGTCCTCCATCTATTTGACCGTTTATTGACCGTGATCGACGATCTCCAGAAGAACCTTCAACTCTCGTTAAAGCACGTGGAGGCCTCCAGGATGACGTTGCACCGGTTCGGAAACACGTCGTCTTCTTCGCTCCGGTACGAACTCAACTACATTTAATCCAAAGGGAGAATGAAGAAAGGCAATCGGATTTGATAGATTGCTTTCGGCAGTGGATTCGAATGTAACAGTGCGGTCTGAAAATGCAACCGGAACCTTAAAAAATCGACGATGGACCATGAAATTACATATATATCCTCAAAAATCACAGTCAACAAACGGTCAAATAGACAGAGGACCAAATTGTGTTAAAATTACAAAGTTAAGGACTTAATTGGTTGAAATTGAAAGTCAAGGATCAATTTGTGAATTTAGTTATAGTCGAGGGACCATTTTGGGTATTTACTCTTATTCTTATGGTGGTCTTATAATTAAAGGTTGTATTCGCTTTGCATTTCAATTTCTCATGTTAGGTGTTCTACCAATAAGGTAGTTCATGCTTTATCTCGAACTGTATAGCTCTAGCAATTATTTAAAAGTGTGAGATACAACTCTCCTTTTAAAATCTTTTGAATACTTATTGATAGATATCTCGGGTAGAGTACTTAGTTAAAAATATATCTCAGCACTCGGAGTCCACAGTTTAACCGTGCTACTCAGAAGACAGGAGAAACTTAGTAGCTAGAACCCTTGACGAGGGTTGGATTCAGTCGTTATATCGTGGACCGTGGTGCATAATCGATTATGCACCGCACATCAAAACGACGCCGTTTCTTTAAGTAAAGAAACGGCGCGTTGTTAGTGTTAACGGAGTGACACTACATTGTATTTAAACCGACACTGGCTCACATATTATTTTTATATTATCAAATGAAACTGCAGTTATATCAAAATGATATTGTAGTTGTGGTGAAATGAAACTGCAGTATATATAAAATGAAACTGAATAACATTTCACATATTTGAGTGTATAAATATTGAATGAAACTGTAGTTATATCGAAATGAAACTGTAGTTGTATTGAACTGAAACTGCAGTGCATACAAAATGAAACTGAAGAACATAGTTATTTTTTGCGGAACGGCGCAGAACGAATCCCGTTTCTTTTCATTAAATAAAACGACGTTGTTTTGATGCGCGGTGCATAATCGATTATGCACCGCGGTGCACGATATAATTTGCCGGATGGATTTGTGTGGACTAGGCTGCCCCCTTAGCGAAGGCGGTCGAGCTAGTACACCCGAGCGGGTGCTATACTCAGAAGCGATGGAAGAAGATTTTTCAGGGATTTCCTTCGAATTCTGGGCAGGATTTCCCTTTTCAACATTAGGAAAGTAGCTTGGCAGTTTAGGAAGCTTTCTTAAGATAAAATTTGTTAATTCTTTTTCTTTCATTTTCATAGCATGTAAATTTTGTATAAATACCCCTTGGAGCACATTGAAAAAGGTTCCGAATTCAACTCTCGTGCAATTACTCTATCTATTTACTCCCTTGTTTGTTCCTTAAATTGTTTTACGGTTGTGTTGGCCCAACGTTCGACTACACCCCATGGCGGTAAAACCAACCCTTATTAATGCATTCTTTTATGTTTACTTTTCTTCTACTCAATACAGAGCAGCTAAATGCCACCATACACCAAACCGGTCTTTGAACGCAAGCATTCATTCAATGATTGCATCAATCATTATTACTCCCATTGTATATTATTAATTAATAATATAATCCAATAAGATTCATCAAATTAGCAGATATGAAGATTGGAAGTTAAAAAAGAAGCAAAATATAGAATTGTGGCATTATTCATGGATCTGAGGTTGTGTACATGATGGGTGTATACATTAGCAAGCAAGGAAGCTAAAATCTTCAGCATTGATTTTACATAATAATAAACCAGTAACTGGATTTCTTCCCTGTTAACCTTTATGACATTGATGCACTCACTGCCTGCAACCTTTAAAGACACGAACTTTGATAAGAAACGATTGGGTTGGAACTAGTCACCAACAACACAGCATTCTCCTTAAAGAACATCATGGAATCTACCTGGGACGGCGCATGATGTTCTCAGTTCTTGTACTTCATGGTGTGTTTCTCGAACCCGATCGTGGGGAACTGCTTTGCATACTCCTCCACATCATGGCGCAGCTTTGCAATCTCAGCCTGGATTGCATCACTGGACTGCAGGGTGGCCACAAATTCTTTCAATTTCGTGCCTGGAAACAGCTCAAAAAGGCAAACATTTTTAGACTATATATCTCAGATTCTCAGAAGCATTCAAGAATGGCTTAAAATGCAGACCTTGAGTTGCAGCCTTTATTTTGACAGATAACTTCACTGCTGCGTCGAAGTATTCTGCAACTTTCACAAAGTCTTCCTCGACGAATCCCCTGGAGGTAAGAGCAGGAGTTCCTGGCAGAAAAAAACAAGCGAGTTAATCGTGTTCTGTCAAAAAGGTTAAAGCACTTATGAGTTATGGCTACCCATTCTAATGCCACCAGGAACCATTGCAGAAACGTCCCCGGGAACTGTGTTCTTGTTGGCTGCAATGTGGACAGATTCCAGCACCTTTTCAACTCTGGAACCATCAATTCCCTGTAACATTCAAAGGGAAAACTCTCACTTATTCAAGAATATTCACAATAGACATATGGTGAATTTATAAATTACCTTGTTTTTCAGATTCACCAACACCAAATGGTTCTCAGTTCCACCAGAAACCAGTTCATAGCCCTTCTCAACCAAAGTCTACAAGATTAAACAATCCTGTTACTTATAATGGCATCCAACGATCAAAGTTTGGCAAAAATCAGAAAATTTTGGCAGGTCTACCTGTGCAAATTTTGAGCAGTTACTGAGGACTTGCTCTTGGTAAGCTCTGTATTCGGGAGTCGTTGCCTGCACTCACACCACACTACACGAGTTACAAACACGAAGACTCGCTGTCTTCATAGGAAACATACAATTGAAAGTTAAAATTGTTTCACTTTCTGCAAATGCAGTAAACCTGCTTCAGAGCAACAGCCAAACCGGTAATGGTGTGATTGTGAGGGCCTCCTTGAAGTCCAGGAAAGACTGCCTGATTGATTTTGTCTTCATAGTCATACAACACCTTCATAAACACTCCATTTTCATTATTGGCATTACGATAATCTCAGAAATGGAGAACACATATCTTAGACTCTCTCTTTCAGTGACTAACCTCCTTGCCTTGCTTGTTAACCTCTTTCACACCTTTCCTATAGAAAATCATGGCACCACGAGGCCCACGAAGAGACTTGTGGGTTGTGGTAGTCACAACATCTGCATAATCAAATGGCGAGGGTATGACCCCGGCTGCCACTAGTCCACTTATGTGTGCCATATCTGCCAACAAGATAGCTTTCTGTTTGTCACAAACCTGTCAAATACCCCGAACATCAAAAGAAATATCAATCAAGCTTTTTCAAAGAATCTCTAGTTAAAGCTTCAGTAACATAATCTAAGCAAGTTTACCTTTCTGATGCGGTCATAATCATAGAGACGCGCATAAGCACTAGCTCCAGCAACAATTAGCTTTGGCCTAAAAAGCGTCGCACTTTTCTCAAGCTGGTCATAGTCGATATAGCCAGTGCTCTCATTCAATCTATAGGGCATTGTCTCAAAAAAGATGGAAACTGCTGATATCTTCTTTGTGTCAGTCTGGAAGGGTGACAAAAGGGGCATTAGATAACCATAGCACGCGAAATTATCGATGTAAAACCAGGCCTTAGCTTGCAATTAGTATATATACCTGATATCCATGGGAGAGATGCCCACCATGAGGAAGATCAAGTGCCATGATTCTGTCATGAGGTTTTAATAATGCAGTGTAAACCTGAAAATTGGATGGTGATCCCGATAAAGGCTGCACATTCACTGCATTATTGAAAACACCAGAAAATCATCCATATAGGCAACAATTGATACAAATCTACAAGTTTCTGATATGTTTACTAAATGAATGGTGTATTAATCACCTCCCCATTTTGCAGGGTCAAGGCGGAACGCTTCCAAAGCGCGTTTTTGGCACAAGGATTCTGCCATATCAATGTACCTGGAAGAAAGATGTCTCATTCTCTTCAAAATTCCAAAGTTCCAACATTGCAAAATTAGAAATTAAGGGAACATAAATGAGAAAAATGAAATGAAATTCAGCATACTCATTTCCTCCATAGTATCTGGCACCAGGATATCCTTCACTGTATTTATTTGTCATAACAGAGCCAACTGCTTGCATCACAGATAAAGAAGTGAAATTTTCTGAGGGGATGAGTTCAAGCCCCTGCATACAGATAATTTAAAGTCTTGGTAAGACTTCAAAATCCAAATCTTGCTAGCATAAATTTAAGCATCTTTGCTCAAGATTTCAAACATTAAAAGAACTTATATGTGTTGTATATATCTCATATGTACTGGAGGATGATAAGTGTTGAACAGAATGGAGCAGGAGTGGAGTCCAACACCTATATGGGTTACGTTTTTTTCTCTTTTGTTGGGTAACATAATCTGGGTCGGGACTACGATATAGTACATGGGTAATTTAGTACAGTACCTTTTAGGGTTGCATATAAATTTGATGTTTGTAAGATGTTCTACCATTACAATTAATAAAAGAACAACTTCAATTCACTCCCATGGACGTATTGTCTTTTTTACTTTCTGCCATTATTTTCGATTCTTGTTCTGGTTTATATCTACAATATTCATGCAAGGGAATTGAAGAAAGGGAAAAGGTAAGAACTTAACCTTCCATTGTCTAGCTTTCTCGAGCTCAATAATGTCAGCAATCTCAGGATCAACCTCCTCTAATGAAGCATTCAGCTGCTTTGGCCACTGCAATTTTCATATTTTCTGGTAAATAACACAATCATAGAAAACAGGAAAATCTATCGCTGCTGATTTATTTATTCTCAAACACTTACAGAGACTTGACACTTTTCCTTCTCATAAACTGCTTCGCTGGATAAAGAAGACTAGAAAAACGAAACAGAAGTGAGAAACAGTAGTATACCATAATGAACTAAATCATTAAAAACAAATTAAATGCAAAATTTGAGAAGATGATGAGAACCATGTAATAGAGAGAACCGCCGCCATTGTAGAGAGTCTTGATGGGTTTTTCAATGGAAGATGAGAGCCTCCGAAGCGCCATGGCCATAGCCATCGCCATTAACAATATGGGTACACTACAGAAGCTAAGCTAGCAGAGAGTGAATCTGTTTGGTGTAATTAGTGAGTGGGTGTGTATGGGTAAGGAGGAATGGGTGAGATGAAGTTTGGGTGGTGGGAGAAAATTTGAAAATATTTCTGGTGGTGGTGGCGCCAGGACGCGCAACCAATTCTACTCTCATATGATAGCATCTTTCCTATACATGCCAAAAACCAAAAAAGAACATATCATATGATATTTTAAACTTGAGTTTGAACTCATGTATTATGAAAAATTTCCGCATGCATGCTCAGCTTAATTGGTATTTAAGTGATAAATTATAATAAGGAGGCTGAATCAAGACGTATTTGACAATCGCAGTATAAGAGTTACAACTAATGTGGTGGTCTCCCCGTTCTGGTCCTAGCTAGTTTCCACCTGGATCAAGACCGCTAGCAATCGTATGTGGGAGTTATAGCTAATATGGTGGATTCCAGGCACTTCACTGGTCCTAGCTAGCTTCCACTTAGATCAAGACCGCTAGCAACTGCATGTGGGAGTAATAGCTAATGTGGTGGTCTCCAAGCACTATTCTGGTCCTAGCTAGTTTCTACCTGGATCAAAACCGCTAGCAACCGTATGTGAGAGTTATAGCTAATGTGGTGGATTCCAGGCACTTCACTGGTCCTAGCTAGCTTTCACTTAGATCAAGACCGCTAGCAACCGCATGTGGAAGTAATAGCTAATGTGGTGGGTTCCTGGCACTGTACTGGTCCTAGCTAGCTTCCACCTAGATCAAGACTGCTAGCAACGACATGTGGAAGTTATAGCTAATGTGGGTGGGTTCCAGACTTCTAGGCATGATCCTTCTATGTAAAAGGCAGCGCAGCTGAGCCACTATAATTTATCCTTCTATTTGTGAGTTCTTAGAACAAGAAATTTTATTTTTTATGGGCAAGTATGCAAACCATCACTTTATGACTTTAAATTAAAACGTCATAAATTCAATTATAATCCATGAATGTAATAAAAACAAAATTGTATGCAAAAATTATGGACTTTGCATGTAGTAGTGAAGACATTGTTTTTGTTGGTATGGATATGGAAATCCAGCCATGAAAGCCTTATCCAAACTCCGACATTCTTAGCCACAGAGAGGTCGTGGTTGGAGGGATGTAAGAGGGAGACATGTTATGCAATTATTATAGTCCACATACCTCTATAGATCATACTATCAAATAATGTACATTCAATATACAAATAATATATTTTTAAATATATTATAAATGTATATTATATTGAGAGAACGTACATTATTTGAATACTGAAAATACATTATTGTGTATAATATATATTCAGTACAAGAATAATATACTTTTAGTATATAAAAAAATGTATTTTTTTGTTATGGTTCACACAACACTATGTAGATCTTTGCCATTGTCATATTATTATGAACTTGTGTCCTCTGAATTTGAAGGCTTTGTTATTGGCCCGCTCCTAAACTTACACTCCGATAAACCATTTCGGCCTGCTGACATCCAAATGGCAAATTATGCCCTGGACCCGTGTCCACAATGGGCCCAAAACGACATTGTTTTTCAAAAAAAACGCGTCATTTAGTTTAAAAAAAAAAAAAATTCGCGCGCGTTTTGCCGTTAACGGCGTTATTTTTTTTTGGATTATGAATGTACAGTTATGCCGTTATGAATGTACAGTTATGCCGTTATGAATGTACAGTTATGCAATTATGAAATTATGAACACAGAGCTCTAACATTATGAACTTACAATTATGAACATATATAGTGATAAAATTATGACCATGGAGCTTTAAAATTGTGAATATAGAGCTTCGAAGATTATGAATGTACAGTTATAGAGTTATGAATCTACAGTTATGGAGTTATGAATCTACAGTTATGAGATTATGAATCTACAGTTATGGAATTATGAATGTACAATTATTGATCGAATTATGAACAAAGAGCTCTAACATTATGAACTTACAATTATGAACATATAGTGATAAAATTATGAACATAGAGCTCTAAAATTGTGAACATAGAGCTTCGAAAATTATGAATGTACAATTATGGAGTTATGAATGTACAGTTATGACTGATGGGGTGTGAACCCCGTGGGCTCGGGGCCCAAGAAGAAAAGAGATAAAGCCCAGACAAAGAAGGGAAGCCCAAGAAGAAAATGGAGCAATCCCAAAAGAGATACGAGCCAAACCGAGGAGTCGGTTGGCCCAGGAGTCGGCTCGACCCGGAGGTCGGCACGGGTAGAGGGTCGGACTAACTAGCCGTTATTCCTAATTATCTACCCTTAAAAGTCCTATTTATCTACCTCATCCATAACCCCCCCAAATAAAGGCTACCTATTAAGTCTCCCACTTATTACCCCACTAATAACCAAGTTAATACCTATTAACTACCCTACTAAATGGTCCAACGGACACTTTTGGGATAGGCTAGCTATAAAAGGAGGAGAAGACAAGAAGAAAAGGGGGGATCCATCCATTCACTCATTCATCTACATGTGGGAGGACTCTCCCAAATACTACCACTCACTATTCTTTCATCACCAAGAAGGCTTCATCACTCTCCCAAAGAGAATGCATTCTTCCACAACCACTCTCCACTCATCCAAGTGAGAAGACCGCACGAAGAAGACTCCACATGAGAAGGCCCACCACTCTTCCATCCATGAAGCATACTCCATCTCCATGTACAAAGTATAGCTCTCCTTATACAATATTTCCATATCTCTATATACAAAATAGCCATACAATATGTACAAAAGACACCTACAAAATGCATAGTCGAATTAGGCTTGGCACCGCCCAAAAAGGCCCGTGGTTTTCCTTTCGGTTTCCACGTCAAAATCATCGAGCCCATATTATTTTAGCAAGCTTTATTGAAAGGTGTATCCTCCAGCTAAAGGTTGTGTTGGACCTCCTTGGGCCCGAAAACCCAAAAACCATCAATGACGTTATGAATGTACAGTTATAGAGTTATGAATGTACAGTTATAGAGTTATGAACGTACAGTTATGGAGTTATGAATGTATAGTTATTAACATATAGTAATAAAATTATGAACATATACTTCTATAACAAAGTGGTCTGAAATTAAAAAAAAAAAAAAAAAAAAAAAAAAAAAAAAAAAGAGATAACCGTGCCTAACGGCACTGTTACCCGTGTCCAGCAAGCATGCTGGACACGGGTCCAAGGCATAACGATTGCATCCAAATAGGCAAATTATGCTGTGGACCCGGTCTAAAACGGCGTTTGAATAAAAAAAGAAAATTGCTTCCTTCCTTGCCATTAACTTGATGTTTATCTTCAGAATTTATTATTCTATATTCACAATTTTAGATCTTAATATACAAATTTACAAACTCAATATTCACAATTGCATAATTCTATATTCACAATTCTTTAACTCTATATTCAAAAAAAAAAAAAAAAAATCATTGGTTGAGGAAACGGTGCCATTAACAACACCGTTATTTCAGACACGCAAAGTTGCATCGTTTTGAACCTGAGTTCATCTTGCAAGGTGAACCGGGTCCATAGCATAACAATTGCATCCAAATATCCTTCTTCCTTCATCATGTTTTGAACATCCAATTTACATGGGCTTCTGCCTTCTGTGATTGGAATCCCAGCCCATATACTTTTTTCCATTTAATCTTTTATTATTCTTTCATTTACGAAAAATATGTTATTGTTACTTGAACGCGTATTCTGAGATGAGACTTGTCTTATAATCTTAATCAGTAAATGATCATAACAAGATAAGTTTAATTAGATTACTTAAAGCTGACCGATTCAAATTAAGAAGATCAATAAACAATTCTCAATGAATTAAACTTAAAACTTATAATTATTAAGTTAACTGTTTGACCAATTTGACTAATTCTAATATTATTCTATATATGCTGATGATGATGATGAGTTGTTGTATAGAAAATTACTATTTGTACTATATTTTTAAACTAAAATATCTATCAAATAATGTGATATTCATAATGATAATTATTTGACTCCATTATAACTGTTGAGGTTATAATAACACCCAACAGTCTAGTATACAGTGCTAAGGTATAATTATTTGAGTGTTATGATAACTATATGTGTGAGAATGTTTAGGCCTGTCTATGTTAACCTTAACCAATCGGTTTTTTACAGTAAAACCCCAACTACTACTTAAAAGTCTGTTATGAATAAACTTATAGTAAAACTCCACCTACTACTTAAAAGTATGATAAACTTTCGTATATTTTCTCAACACAGACCGTTCTGAGCGTTAATTCAGCAGTTACGGAGGTGGTTGGCATAACTTAGACTTATGTCATGGACTGTTTTTCTGTGATCGTGTTACGACCCAAAAAATGTGAAAACGCTCAACTAGTTAGCAATGTCATGTGGGTGAAGGAGGCGTCAATAGCGTGGTTGTTCTACCTTGGAAGCTAAGGTCTGACCGAGTTAGGCATGCCGACCCGATTAAGTTTGGGGAGCCTGTCGCTAGTCTTGGGGACCGATACGATTCGAAGGGCACAACTGGTTGGGAGCTATTGTCGCTGTTCGTGGTAGGGCGAAGCCAGTGTAGTGTGGTACGTATGTAGGTAAAAGGTTAGGCCCCGGGATGCCGCACGGGCACTGTGCCCGTTTTCCAGACAACATTCGTGTCCGCATGCATGTACTTTTTGGGCTATTTTGAGATTTGATTTGTAGGCTAGAAGGAGCATCTATGCTATATAATTCAATAAGTCTTAGAAAGACTCTTGTATAAATAGTAGTACAAACCCACTTCCCAAACCAAGAGTAAATACCCAAAATGGTCCATCGACTATAGCTAAATTCACAAATTAGTCCTCGACTTTCAATTTTAACCAATTAAGTCCTTAACTTTGTAATTTTAACACAATTTGGTCATCTGTCTATTTGACCGTTTATTGACTGTGATTTTTGGGGATATATATGTAATTTCATGGTCCATCGTCGGTTTTTTAAGGTTCCGGTTGCATTTCCAGACCGCACTGTTACATTCGAATCCACTGCCGAAAGCAATCTACCAAATCCGGTCGCCTTTCTTTCCCTTTGGATTCAATGTAGTTGAGTTCGTACCAGAGCGAAGAAGACAACGTGTTTCCGAACCGGTGCAACGTCA